TTACTTTTAATGTTAAGCAAAGTTGCTGAAATGTTGAATAATAATTTGGTGCAGTTTGTGTATTAAGCTGTTGAGCCAACAGGTTTGTATAATGAACTATCAATACCTATTTTCTTAGATTTTACAGCACATAAGAAAGATTCAGTTCAAAACCAAAGAAGGAGATGTTTACTTGAGTTGTACTTTAAAATTTTTGAAACTTACTGTTTATATATTACTTAATGTTACCATTTTAAATTTTTTCAAAAGTTACTTTTACATTAAGTAAAAACAAAATGAACGAAAGAAAGAGCAGTTGAATTACATGAATAAAAAACTGGTACAGTTTATCTATCTTGCTGTTGTCCCAACTGGCCTACATTATGATTTACATAAGTAAATTAATACCTGTTCTTAGATTTTACAGCACATAAGAAAGATTCAGTTCAAAACCAAGGAACGAGATGAGGTTTATTTTGATGAGAATGGAGACCCACCGGCAAAGTATGAAATTATAAACTGGCAGCCAACAGAAAATGGCATTGTGGACTTTGTCACAGTTGGTCTGTATGATGCATCTTTACCTGCAGACAAACAGCTGAGTCTGCAAAATAAATCTTTATTTTGGTCACAGAACTCACAACAGGTAAGCACGTATGTGATTTCTGTACTTGTTATTTACAGTATAATCATCCTAACTGTATTACTGTTACTGTATCATGCAGGTGCCTGTGTCAGTTTGCAGTGAGAAATGTCCCCCAGGAACTCGCAAGGTTCTCCAGAAAGGAAAACCTGTCTGCTGCTATGACTGTATCAGATGTGCAGAGGGAGAAATAAGCAACATGACAGGTATAGTAAAACATAATGGCAAAGTCCCCAAGGTTTCCCTTATTTTGTCCACCCAATTTATATTGATGAAGCAAGGCTAAATGACAATCATGCATTTGTGCAGTGCAGCTTCACAAATCACAACTTGCTTAATAGTTAATCAAATATAGAAAACTGAATATTATCACCTTCATGGATTTTTTGCAGGACTGTTGTATTGTAAATTACATTACAAAGATGAGGACACTGTCTTTTATCTTTTCTCTCCCTTCTTTTATGGAAACAGTTTTTCTGTTGAGCAAAAAAGGCTTTGACATTTTATTTTTATTTAAACTTTATTTAACCATGATGAAATGTCCCTTGAGGTCTGAGATGTCTTTTATACGGGTGCCCAAGTTTTTAAATCCAAAGGTACATTATCTGGTATCGATCCCAACACCTATGCCATTTGCTAAAGTTTGTGTGTTTTCTTTGGGTCTAACACTCCTGTAGTTGCAAATATGTGCTGTGATGTGTTAAAGGATTACAGAGTCATATAAACTAAAACTTTCCTCCTACAGAAAGACTCTTACTGTTGACGAGTAGTAATTCACGTTTGACTACTCTGGAGTCAATTAGGTATGAACTGCAAATGAATTCGGAGGCCTACATATGTGGGACTCACATCTATCTATTTTTAATTCAAGAATAAAATTTCTGTCTTTTATGAAAGGAAAAGAAATACGATAGAAAATTGGTACATCTACTAAACAAGACTGACATCTATTTTAATAACATTTTTTAGATTCTATCACCTGTGAGCAATGCCACCATGAATCCTGGTCCAATGAGAGAAGAGATGCCTGTGTAAAGAAGGAGGCAGAGTTTCTATCATATGAAGAAATTATGGGAGTACTGCTCACTGCAGCGGCCTTATTTGGAACATGCATGACTGCTGTTGTGGCAGCCATTTTCTTCACATACAGGACAACTCCTATTGTCAGGGCCAACAACTCTGAGCTGAGCTTCCTGCTGCTCTTCTCCTTGACCCTGTGTTTCCTGTGTTCTCTGACCTTCATCGGCCGGCCCTCTGAGTGGTCCTGCATGCTGCGACACACAGCATTCGGCATCACCTTTGTCCTCTGTATCTCTTGTGTTCTGGGGAAAACTATAGTGGTGTTAATGGCCTTCAGGGCTACACTTCCAGGCAGTAATGTGATGAAATGGTTTGGGCCTGCACAGCAGAGACTCAGTGTTGTGGCTTTCACTCTCATCCAGGTTGTTATATGTATCCTCTGGTTAACTATTTCTCCTCCTTTTCCATTTAAGAATTTTACCCAGTTCAAGGACAAAATCATCTTAGAGTGTGCTCTGGGATCAGCTGTAGGCTTTTGGGCTGTACTTGGGTACATAGGCCTTCTGGCCATCTTATGTTTTATTCTGGCTTTTCTTGCTCGGAAACTGCCTGATAATTTCAATGAGGCCAAACTGATCACCTTCAGCATGTTGATATTCTGTGCAGTCTGGATGACTTTTATTCCAGCATATGTCAGCTCGCCTGGGAAGTTCAGTGTTGCTGTAGAGATATTTGCTATTCTGGCCTCCAGTTATGGGCTACTCATTTGTATTTTCCTTCCAAAATGTTATATTATCTTACTGAAACCAGAAAAGAATACAAAAAAGAATATGATGGGGAAATAATTTTGACAACATTTAAAATACAGTGGTAAATGCATTTTAGTAATTTTTACATAATAATTTGTTAAACAGGCAGTTAGTTGGAAATGTATTTGAAATGTGTCATTTGAAGATCTGTAATGTACTATTGTAAAATGTTTCCACTGTAACCTATATCATTTTATTTGTGGAATAGCAAATGGATATGACAGAATTTAACGCAGTGTAATATATAATCATATGAACCAGTGTATGTGTGATTAATGAAAAATAAATGCACAAGCCCAATAATGAATTTCTTTCCATTTTCACCTTAATTTGCTTTAGGTTTTTTTTAGTGAGAAATAGGTAATTGTTATGTGTAATTTTATTTTCCACCAGATTTAATTTTAAATTTTTTTAATTTGCTCAAGCAATGATCTTTATTATAACTACAGAATGTAGAAAGAAATTCTTAATGAAATGTTATGTATTTGCAAAACTGTTTTAAAGATTGTTTAATCTGCTTGAACTTTGTAATGGCTTGACCTGTGCACTTGAAATGCTGTGTGTGAGTATGTGTCTAAGTGCAGAGACTCAGATCAACAGGAAGCAAGCGCAGGAGTAGACTATGACTAAACTGTCTGCAAGAGAGTTGTGAGTGGGTATAAGTTCTTATTGTTTGGCTTTATATTATCAACATTTATCATCATTATAGGAAATGTTTAGCCTTCTATAATCAACATTATAATCTGCATTAGCAAATATACTTACATGTTTATTTCAGTATCATATGCTTTATAATTCCCTTTCATTTAACCATTTCACTTGTCTTTGAGAGTGCAGGAGACTTATGGCTGATAATAACAGAACATGTGTAGGCTGTAAGAATCTGACAGGAAACCACAAACAAGAACAAGGCCAGGTTGCATAGCAACGCTGCCTGTCACAAGGATAGATGAGACATGAGAGAGAGGCGCTGTCCCTAAACTGTAGACGTATGTAGGTGTGCAAGGTCTGTCTGGTTCAGAAGGTCAGGATGTTGTTCTTAGAAATTCACAGATCCAATCTGCCTGACAACAAGAATACCAATGAGGGGTCAGAACGAGGTCAACAAACCAACCAAGGAATGAGGATAAAGGACAACACGGATGATGCCAGATCTACCTACATTTGCATATTCAAAAACTGTATTATAAATTCTCTGGGCTCAGGAGAATAGGCGTTCCTCTTTGTCCTGAAGGCACGTTGAACGGTTTTGCTGTTTAGGATCAGGGCCTCAGATAGAGATGGAACCCAGAACTCTGTACTGCTTTTCTTCAATATTGTAATAAATGTCTTGAAGACAGATTTGACTTCGAGCATTCTTCATAAAAGAACATGCAGGACTGGTTGAGTCCAACAAGAAAGACCAATACAAATGTTAAAATGCTGCCTAATGTTATGCTTGGATGAAAGATTTGTGAAAACTGTAAAATCATTAAAAAAACTTTAATGAAAAATTTGTGCCTTATCCTTTTTTCCATTAACTTATTATCAAAGAAGGTGAAGACAGCATTGAATCACAATAAACTCATTTTATTGGCACTGGTGTGGTTCTTCTCTGTCATCAACCGCAGAACCACTGTCATTTCGAAAGCTGCACTGACACTGGTGAGTGGATTAAAGAAAGACATCAGTGACAACAACCCAGTAAAGCTGAGACAGTGAAAGACCGTATTCTCATATTACTGTGACTTTAGGTAGAGCTGGATCTGAGCATTCTCTGATCACATGGTATGTCATAATGACAGTGGGAGAAATAATTTTAGGAAATAAGCTGTTTATGTAAATGACTGGCTGTATGCTAAAGTGACCATTTCTTTTAAGAATTTGGCAGATATTAAATTACTTAGAACATTACTATCTTCTGGTGCAGGAGGTGAAAACAGGACTTTCAAGTATTTCTATAATATAGTCTCTGAGGTATGGAAAATATTTTTTGGATTAGTTTCTATGATTTAACCTGAATTCTTAGGACATCACATTATAGTGATGGCCTCCCCTACTACAGATGCTTGTTCTCATGGGGACGAAATCTTGTCTGACTGCATCCAGGCCCCCTCAGGATTTGGTTTCTCTTTTTAAAAATTCAACTATATATGCTGGGGTTGGGCGGGTTTTCTGTTGAAACGTGTTCTCGTATATTGAAAAGAAAAGACTAAATATAAAGATATTTCACAGTTTAATTCGAACCCGGTTCTTTTGTCTGAAGGCCCCAAGAAGTAACACTCAGGATACAGGAATCAGCTTCAAGTGGATTTATTTTGTTCTGGTTAAATGCAGAGTTATTACAGCGCTGGGCTCTGAGAGATGACAAGTCTCCAAAAGCATTGATTATCACAAAATGTTTACATTTATCTTCTGGGCTGGGACTGCCCCCGTCAATATTCTTAGAATGTTCATATAGGCAGTCTGTGTGTGTGTGTGTTGTTATTTCCGGTGTTTTCTCAGTACTAAATATCCTGACCTTTGAATGCCCTAAGCTCAGACAGTTTTAGAGAAGGCCCTCACTTCACTCACTTCCCGTCTACACCTGTCACTATGAGCGTTGCTAAGCCCTGGTTCCTGTTGTGGTTTCCTGGAGATTGCTTTTCAGGTACTGCTATTGGCAGCTGCAAGTCTCTTACACTCTTTAAGACAAATAAAATGGTTAACACAAAAGTAGATTATAAGGCATATGATACTATTATAATGCATATGATACTAAAATAATCCTGTAAATATATTTTTATGTATGTTATATAATAAAAACCCTAACTAATTATTCATTCCTATCTAAAAATGAAAATCACCCTAACATTTCCACAGGTCAGTTTTGTTGAAAACTGATGCCCATTTTTGGACTATAACTGCCCATTTACTCAAGATTTTGGGGCTGGGTTATAGACCTTTTGAGTCTTGGGCAATTCTGTACTATTCAGTGTTCTAATGTTAAAAACAATTAAATTAAGTAAGCCTGTTTTTGAGTTACATTCGGATTTTTATCTCCTCATGAACTGATGAATCCAGTCTAGTCCTCACATTTACTCTAGACAGAAACAATAAAAATCTATAGATAGTCTAGAATTTGTAAAACTCAAGAGAAAACAGAAGAAATGAAAATGAGTGTTCCTATTTTTAGCTCCTCACCACCACAAGCTTAGCATGCAAACACGCTCTTAGAAGTTCATAAAAATGAAAAAAGATGATCTAAAATGTACATATTTTAATTATAGGAAACTGAACATATGATACATGCAGATATAATAGGAAGAGATGGAGTGCTTGTGTACTTTCAGCTTTGCTTATGCACTTTGGGTTGTGGTGAAGGCTTTAGGAGTTTGCACTGCTCTTGGGCACTGGCAGACCCCCAAAACCTTCTAATGATAGAGAACAGACAAAATATTTCTGATGTCTGGGTCTGATGTAGTGAAGGAAGGCTTAAGAAGTTCAGGGGTCTATGGTCTTGATGCAGAGATCTGGAACACCTTTATTGGAGGCTGAAGTGAAGCTCCAATTTTTAATGCAAGACCAGAGTAGAGGTCAAGTGTGATGCCAGAGAGGGTGAGGATTATTTATTATATTTACTATGGTGGACAAACCAGAACTGTAGATAAAAATGAATGGACTAAGCTTTGGAGTTCCTCTGCATCTGGAGCTGTCCTGGATCTCTGGAAATGGAGGCCAGAAAGAATCTGTGATCTTATTATATAAACCAGGAATGTGTATAGTGCAAATTGTGAACTGGTGCAATATTGCTAGCCCTGTGAGCCAACATATGAATGGAGATATGGAGGGATGGCTGACATCCTGGGTGCCAGACAAAACGGAAAACAAAGCAGGCAGCCAAGTGCCTAAGAGCTGCTTCAACCTTGGTTGATAATGTCAGTGGTTGCGGTACTGTCAGAGCGGACAAGGGTGGTTTAAGGTTCCCTTTTGTGACCACAATGGGATGAATTTTGAACAGAGCTGAGGAGGGATGTAGAGGTTTGAGGAATTGCCAGAGTTCAAACAGCTATGCGTCTGAGAACCATTTTGACCTAGATTTGCCCCCAAAACCCACTGGAGCAGTGGCATCAGTGATGGGGGTTAATGTTGTGAGGAATGTGAAGGAGATGATCGGGAGAGACAAGGAAGGTGTCTAGAAGGTGGACCAGGTGTTGAATCCTGTAACTGTTCTACAGAATCCAGCAGGAGGCCTTGGCGAAGGTGTCAAGTAGCTTTGGGCTGCTTTTATGGCTGAACATGAGTCTGACTGCGAAGTAGACTGAATCTCACCAACGTACTCTGAATAGGTGGCAATAATCCAGATGAAGAGGCAAGACCTTCAAAGTGCTGGCTTAAAGAGCCAGGCACGCCTCCCTGCAAGTTTTATAAATGGATTGTCACGTATTTCAGGGAAAGTCATCACTGGACATGAACTGTGAAGCTCAAGACTGAGCTGCCATGAAGAGCTGAAAGATTGATTAAAGGATTGTGATTCTGATGATGTTATTGCTGGCTTTGTTATGTAATGCATGAACAGGGTTTGAAGAGAGCTGCGAGTGGGCTGGAGTCAGTCCCAGCTAATACTGGGTGATAGGCGGGGTATACTCTGGTCAAGTAGCCAATCTATCACACAGGGCTGACACTTGGAGACAGACCACCACACACACCCACACTCACTCCTATGGGCAATTTAGTCACCAGTCAACCTAAACTGCATATCTTTGGAATGTGGGAGGAAGCTGGAGTACCCAGAGAAAACCCACACATTTATTTATTTGTTTGTTTTTAAACTTCTGGAATTTTCTGACAAAAAGAAAAAACAAGCTAAAATGTTTTTGTCTATGAAAATAGAGATTTTATTTTTTGGTTAGATTTTTAAAAATGTTAAATATGAAATTGGAAAAGATTGTATATTTCTTTTTCCTTAATTACATATACTGGGTGATATAATTACATAAAATATTAGAATAAAAAATAGTCTGCAGTGTAAAAATGTTAGGATACATTAGACACCTTCAATCAAATGAATACATGCCCAATTCACAGTTGGTTAACAAATTATTATGTAAAAATTATAATGGCACCAAAATGCCATATATTAAAAGCTCTCAGAATTATTTCCCCATCATATTCTTTTTTGTATTCTTTTCTGGTTTCAGTACGATAATATAACATTTTGGAAGGAAAATACAAATGAGTAGTCCAAAACTGGAGGCCAAAATAGCAAATATCTCTACAGCAACACTAAACTTGCCAGGAGAGCTGACATATGCTGGAATAAAAGTGATCCAGACTGCACAGAATATCAGCATGCTGAAGGTGATCAGTTTGGCCTCATTGAAGTTAT